TATTTCAGCACAATGAAAATACTACTTTTCTTAAATGTAATTAAAAATATTTTGTTGCCAAATAGAAAGTAAAAATTTAATATGTAATTTTTCTTTGGACTTTGCAAGGCTTATATTTTCAAAGTATTATCTTGCCCCGGCAGCATATTTTGAAACCTTGTACTTTTTTTAGTAATTTTTACACGAAATGTTTATATTCACTCTTTGCATGAGCCAATTCAAACCACGTTTTAAATAGCAAATCATTGTTTTGGTCTGTTAAATGAAAATAGTACATGTACCAATAAAACAGCTATAATAAAAGTTGTTGGTTTTGCATAACAAGACATTTGTAACATTTATTTTGTGACCGAGTTTCACAAAAAATGGAAACGTGTTGAGGTATAAGTAAAAACTAACAAAATTTAACTAAAAGTTCCATAAATCTTTAATCAGTTAACCAGTCTGAAATTTTATTTACAGTTTGGTGTGGCCATAGGCTCATTTGCACTGATTTTTATTAAATTAAATAGAGTGGCTCATATTCTAAAAGTGTTTTTATTAGCGTACTATGAAGTCAAAATCTTAGTCAATTTGACCATTCAAACTAAGTTTTTTTTCCGCGCACAAGATTAAAAGGTTTTAAATTTTACTTCACAGGGTACCTTGATATGTACACTATTTTTCTATATTAGCAGAGTTCTTGAGTCAGCTAGGTTGTTGTTATAAGGATCCATGATAACCATGCATTTTTTGTTAAAAACCAAAAGATTACACATTCCCTTAATAAAGATGCATGTATTTGTCAAAACATGTGTATTTCAAGGATGATAAATTATTAACTTTTTAAGTGATTCACAGAGAGGGCTATTTTAAGTTTTTTTATGTTATCTCTTGTCATCAGTATTAAGACAACTTGCATATTTTTGGACTTGCATCCGACAACACAGTCCTGAATAAGTCGTAGGTTTCTCTCTGCACAACCGTTCACGTAAGTTGAATTTTTGACAAAATTTTTAACCACATCTAACAACTTCATAGCTTTTTCCTTCCACCACTGCTCTACTTTACCTTGTAGAATTTTCAATAGGATCCAACTTTCTGAACCTACCAGCTCCCAAAGCTCAGTGAACTTAGATATGGTTAATAGCTTATGTTTATTTAATCCTTATTTACCTCCTCTTTGACTGAACACCAGGCATTTTGGATATTTAAATATAGCTCCTTTCTTAAACCTTTCATTTTTTCTCTTCAAAGCTTCCATTAATTGGAGAACCTCTAGCATATGTCTTCTGCAGAGAAACAATAGAGGTATAGTGTTAGTTAACGAAGCTTAAAATAATAATAGCTCTAGAGTGTATTCCGGTATTGGACACTGTTGTAACAAATAGCAAATATATTAGCTACAATGTTGAATTATTCTAGATTGGCTTTAGCCTGGTCCAAGGGCTTTACCCTCATCCAAACTTTTGGAACTTTCTGACTGATCAACACCTAGCAGTATTTTAACAATGTCATCCACATCAAGTTGTGTAACACTGACTGCTATTTTTTTTAAAGATACAACTATTTTCAAAAATTTTACAAAATTTCATATTCATAACTTTTTTTTTCAAACTTATAAATTTTTTCAAAATTTCATATTTCATATTTCATATTCAAAATTTTTTCAATCTGTTTTCCGCGCTTTATATCAAAATATAAATAGAGTATTTTTCCCTTCAAAGTATTTACAATTTTTTTCAAAGGTGTCTTATAATATTTAAATCTTCCATTTACAATTTCTTAATTTAGAACAGTTTTATTGTCAATAGCTGTTATTAATAAAGTTTGCGGGCCTATACCTATTCTGTATCCTACAGAAATCAAAACAGTATTGCCAACCAGATTTCAGAACTTCCCAGTAGGCACCGGACCTAAAAAAGACGTTTTTTTTTAAAAAAAAAAGACGTTCAAAAGACGTCCAAAACGTGTATAAGATGTTTTAAAGACATCTTTTTTTACTTCCGTGCCCACTGAGTTATGTCTATCATTATCTTAAACTTAGTAGTATAATAGAATCTATCTTCTAAATTTAAAAAAATACTTCAGATCCTGCTTCAGATCCAGATGAATATAGAAAAAACCTCAAGTTTATTGGATTTTATTGTATTTATTGTGATTTCGCTAAATCAAATATGATATCCGTCTTCCTTATTCAAACGTGCCTGACTTTTGGAATGATTTGTCCAGCTCTTCTGTAATATACATGTGTCTTTATCCTGAACTGTTATATAAAAGCGTAGGGGTTGTCTGTTTATCTGACTGTCTGATGACATATTCGTTTTCCGAGGTAAAGTCGAAAACTATGTTACATAAAAAAAGCACAGAATGAACTTTATTTATAAGCATCCTCAAAATTATTTTAGCAAAAATAAAAAAAAATACGTTAATAAAGATTTATGGTCGTTTTAATAAAAAAAAAAGCGTTTTTAAATTTAAAAAAAAAACGCCATTGCCACTTATTTGACGTCTTTTGACGTCAAATTAACGTGTACAACTATACTGAAAATCAAGTAATTCATTTAATAAAAATATTTTTTTTTTCTAAATTTTTTTACTGGGTTAGCACTTATCCGTCAAGACTAAGTGTTAAAAAAACAAAAAAACAAGCCAGCCAGCCGCCTTATATTAAATACTATACATAGTGCAAATAAATACATCAGTGTCAATTCAATGCTTAGAAAGCTTTGAATGCTGAATGTTTATCAGTTAAATACTTATAATATTCTTTTATTCATACTTAGATTACAATATCACGTACTGCCTAATATTTTGAAGATCTATTCTTTATCATATATATCAAACAAAGTATTCGTTGCTTAATTATCAATTAGGTACCTAAAACTTTGTTAAAACAATCAGAATTCTCAATAACATACCGACGGCCACATTTGTGGAACTCATTTCTCCCAAATAATAGTAAAACTACATTTTCAATTCAAAATTTTAAAAGTCTTAAAAAACCAGTTACTTGATTATGACGTATTTCAAACTCTATTTTATTTTTAATCTTTGTTTAATTCTCTTTCATTTTTCAACTTTTTCTTTTATTAAAAAGCAATATCACCCTTTGCTTTTTAATAAAAAATATAAATATTATAAATATTGTAAAATAAATTCTTTTTACTTATCTTTAAATTTTATTTTATTTTATTTTTTAGTTGTATTGTATTCAGAAAAAAAAAATGTAAAATAGTATTAAATAGTCTTTATTTAAAAGTATTTAATATTATTTTACGGAGATTGTTATATTTTTTTTATATGATAGCTTACTATTTGTTTTATATGTAAATGATACAGAGGATATGGTGATACAGTGATACAGAATATGGTGATACAATGATACAGAACAAACAATATATTTGTTCAGCTCCTTTTTCTTATATTCTGGGGGTAAGCTATTACCAATTTAGTAGATTAAAAACTTATTAATCTAAATTAAAAATAAGCAGGTTTATCATTAGTTATTGTTTTTCCTATATGTTTTTCTTCATGGTGTCTTATTATTTGCCACCTGGAGATAATAATTTTTATTGCGTATTTATAAAAAAAAAAAGTTTCTTTGTTCTAGCTGGGAGATTTCAGAAACTTTATTACCTTAGAATATTTCTGTTAGTTGGCACCTGGTTTTCGGACGTTTATTGATAAGTACTTCAGGATTAACATAATTAGTATGCTTTTATACTTTTTCATATTTTTAGTATACTCTTTACACCCATCCTTTTTTTTAATTTTTTTAAGTACGACCCGTAAGTACGACCCGTTTCAGTTAATACTTTTATTATTAGTTAATGTTAAAACAAATCATTATTTTTTTCTTTAAGTTTTACCAAAAAATTAACTTCATTTTACACAAATTACGTTAATTGATAAAAATTAATGTAATTTGTGTAAAATATACTTTAAAAATATTTCATATAATATATTATATGATATAAATTATGTTGTTTTAACTGGTTTTATCTAATGTTTAAATTTAACTGCTTATAATTCAACATAGGTTATAACAATATAACAGCTTATAATATATACTTTAAAATATATAGTATAACATAATTTAAAATATATATAATTGTCTTTCGTTTAAGTTTAAATGTTTATAAATTTAACAGTTTATAAACTGTAATAACTTAAAACTTTTTAATGGTAAGACTACTAAACTAATTTTTCATAAAAAGTACGTGATGTTATATATACGTTAATATATATATATATATATATATATATATATATATATATATATATATATATATATATATATATATATATATATATATATATATATATATATATATATATATATATATATATTGAACGTATGTTATATGTATGTTATATGTATATAGTATTCATATAATATATTATCTATACATATAATATACGTTCAATATGCGTATAAATGTATATTGAACGTATATATATGTAGTATCAGTTAATTTTTTATGAAAAATTAGTTTAATAGTTTCATTATTAAAAGAAACATTTTAAAATTATTACAATAAGCAGTTCAATTTAAAAAATAGTCAAAAAGCAGTTTGTTACAAACCACTTTTGCTGGTTTGTAACAAACCAGCCAGATGATCTAATTTCTGACTAGCCTAAGAACATCAGCTTCCCAAAATCACAAATGAAAATAGACAACAAAAATGTAAAACATTATTTTTGAGGGGGAAGGGTTCGAATCTAAAAAAAACATAAAAACTTTAAGTTTTATCAAAAATTAAAAGTATTGAGATTTTACATAGCGCTGAAATTGAAAAATTGGAAAAAAATGCGTGCAAAAAAATTTTTTTTGGGACACCTAACTGCCATATAACCTCACTCACAACATGGCGTAACCTCACTCACAACATGGCGTAACCTAACTCACAACATGGCGTATGGCACAATTTTTTTTGAAGGAGTAAACTAAAACCTTTACGCCCTCCCCTGGTATGTATGTATATATTCATAAATGATTGAAATAAATAAAACCATACCGGTTTTGTAGAAATAAACAGAAATCCTTCAGTTCGTTTAACATTTGGAGAATCGTCATTGAAAAACCGACAAGTAAATTTATTGTTATTCTGAATTTCACCCTCTATTGATTTGCACATTATACCTTTATTAAAGCAAGCTGTAATGCAGGCATGATAATCTATATAATCTGTGCGCATTTCTACCATGTTTGTATTGCCATCTACTTTTTTATCTTTGTAAACAGTGAAAGAATAACGAGACGATGACTTTTGTGTTTGGTAAGTAAATTGTGTTATGATGTTTGTCAGCAAAGTCAAAAAAATAAAATAAAACAACATCTTCGTTTTACACTTGCAAATTAATCTAAAGTAATTGATATATATATATATATATATATATATATATATATATATATATATATATATATATATATATATATATATATATAAATTTGTTAAAAAATCAATATTCTTACTCTAAAGTTTCTTTATTATATGGAGAAAGAAATATAGAAAAATAAAAATATTGAACTCTTAAACTAAATGCGTTCATCTTTTACTTAAATCTTAAACAGAATTAAGTTAAAATTTTGTTATCCATAAAAAAAATATTTTTACTTGAGGATGCTTCTATTGATAAAAAAAAAAAATGAACAAAGTTTAGTCATACAAGCGATCATTATTATTTAAAATATGAGAATAACTAATGAGGTAGAGAATATTAACATGAATCTGGTTATGACGAGGCATGCATCTGGTTATGATGAAACAATTTAAAACTGCAATTGAAAAGACATCATTTGAACAAAAACACTGAGACTAACTGTTTCCAAAGTGACTTTTAAATTTTTACTTTTAATGTTTTTGAGGTTCGCCTTGAAACAAAATTTTGGGCAATAAGTGGTATCTGGAAATATCAGGAAAAAAAACGTATAAAAAAACATCAAACAAACACATAAAATAGTTTGATTTTTATCAGCTATTGTTTTTAAAAGTTTTTAACTATGTTAAAATTCCTCATCTTGTTACGTTTTAATAAGTGTCTATTAAACTGCTTTTAAAGTTAATTGGGTACTTTGATATTAATTTAGTTTATGTATTTCTAAAATAAAAGCTGGCGAATTAAAGTCGCTTTTTGGCCCTCAAAAACCGTTATAGAAGGAAAAATCCTTTCATTTTGTCGATATCGGTAAAATAATGCAAGTACTATTACATCACGGTGTTGATGTATTTGATTACATTTAATACACATAAGCAAAGAGCTTTTTATAATACCGCTGCGCTAGCCTAACAACTGCACTACTATTTCAATCGAAAAACATTAAAATTAAGTATTTAAAATTGACTACTTCTAGTATATTTTGGTTATACTTATTAAGGTCATTGTAATGTAGTTTTTTGCTTTTTTAAAAAATGCTTAAAATTGTTGCATAGTTTTCTCCTAATAACGTTTAGCGACTACTTTTTAACAATTTTAGGTGAATTATGTATTCACCTAAAGATTATAAAAAGTGAATTGAATAAATATATATTTATCTGAAGTTTTTAAAAAGTGAATTGAACATATATATTTTCCAAAATTGTTAAAAAGTAGTCGCTAAACGTTATTAGGAGAAAATTATTCAACATATTTAAGTAGTTTGTAAAAAAGCAAAAAACATTATCATAAGATCCTTTAATAGCTTTAACCAAAATATACTTTAAATAATCATTAATACAAAACAGTGTTGTGATAGACTTGACGTCAATATTTATGGGGCTGTGCGCAGTGGTTAGAGCGCTTGCTATATAAGCAGGAGATCCAGATTTTAAACGAACCTTGGACATATTTTCGCTTCACGGTAAGGAAGAAGGCGTGAACTTCCTGGTTAAATACACTTCCGCGGTGTTCTGTGACAAGACCGTTAGGTCTTCTAGGGGCACCAAAATAACAATAAAAAAAAATACTTGAGTTTTTATTGAGCACTATTACTTATTAAATTTATATGAGCCTGGCTGGCCTTGTTTGCTGGGATGATTAAAAAAATATAGGCATAACGTTATATGAGCCCGGTTGGCCCTGTTTGCTGGGATGATTAAACAAATATAGACATAAATTTATATGAGCCCGGCTGGCCCTGTTTGCTGGGATGATTAAACAAATATAGGCATAAAAAAAATTAACGTTTACTTTGAAATTTTTATTGAAATTTTTATAAGTCATTTAAATAAAAACATATAGGTATAAAACATTTAAACTACCATTTACTATTATCTGAATTATTTAAGTCTGATTGGTTACAAACGTTTTCTGAGATAAATTCTTTCTACATCTAAATATGTCGGTTTACTAAATGCAATAAATCGTTGGTAAATTATTAATAGAAAAGAAGACACATTTTTTAGTTATTGGTTATTCATTACTTAAACTATGGTAACACGCTAAATAAACACGAGAGGCAAGGGTTGGAAAGGGTTGGACTTTTTTGAACAAAATTTAAAAAGTCAAGATTTTTAAACTTATGTGGATTTTTTTTATTTGAATAAAAATTGAAGTTAACAATTTTATCAAAAAATACTTATTTTTATCGTAATTTAAAGTAACATGAAACTGGTTGACTGTGTTTTTTCGTAAATAATGCAATGGTCAAACAGGCCAGAAGCATACTCAGGATTCTAAAATCATTTTTTTTAACCTTATACCTCCAAAAAACTATCCATACTATGCCATTGTAAAAGAATTTTCTAAATTTTTATGTATTAATTTTGTTATTGTATGACTTTATTTTTTTTAATACTAAAAAAAATGGCTCCTGATTGTCAAAACTAAAGATATTACTCTTAAAGTTTTTTAAAATCTTCCTATAATTTTTCCGGAAACAAAAATAATTAAAACATACTAAACAAAAACAAAAACTTTCTGTAAAAAGATCTAACCCAGTGTGGTCCGAATTTGAAAAGCTTGAAACAAAAAGTGGTAAATGATGTAAAGCAAGATGTAGGATATGCAGTAAGGAACTGCAGAGTCTGGTGGCAAGTATGAAAGAACTCTTAAATAAATGTTGCTAAGAAAACAATTCAGAAAATGGTATAATGTACACTGTACATATCTAGTTATTTATTTTTGTTAGTATAATTTAATTAATTTAAACTTTTTAGAGATTTAATTTCAAGCTACTTCCCCCAACAGTCAATTTGATGTTCCAAAGTAACCCTCAGTATCGTCATCAGTTTCAGAAAAAAAATTTAATCTAAATCTACAAAAAAAATCATTAGCAGAAAAATAAATGCTAGTTCTGGATTATTGTCACATGTTGTTATAACAAGTCAGAGTCACAAGGTCGCACTTGAAGATTGTAAGAATGATTTTTGCAACAAATTCACCGTTTCAATTCGTTGAAGATCCAGAATTCCAAAAACTGATGTTGATGTTGAGACCAAGAAATAGTAGCCTAACAAGATAATAAGTAGCTGAAAAACTCCTACCAATAGTGTTTGATAAATAAAAGGAAAAAATAAAAGACGCTCTGAAATGGAGAGATTGCAAATATATCACTGGATGTTTGGTCAAACATTCACAAGGAGCCAATCATTTGTGTTACAGTTAAAACTGGAACAAGTAATATCTATTTAGCTAACAAAATTGACAATTTTAAAAGTTCTTACACCTGTGAATATCTTGAAGAACTAGCAGTTTTATCAATAAAAATAACAGAGCTCAAGTATTGGCGTTATATACAATACAAAATCTTATATTGTCTCAAGATCTCTAGAATACCATGAGTGACCATCTAAAAAAGTATATTCTAAATTGGTAACCTCTGATAAAAATCTCTGAGTCTAATTGGGCCATAATTAACACTATAGTGCTACAGAATGTCTCTATTTTAGTCATTAAGAGATCTGCAGAAGATATACTTTGCCTAGAACCAATCGGTTTTGCACTTGATAAAGCACAAAGTGACAAACGCAAAACATCAGATTAAGTGAAAGTATGGAAGAATCTAAAAAACAAACTTTTGTGTTAAAGTGAGAAATTTATCCAAAAAAAATTCAAAAAAAGATAGGAAGATCAAGTAACACAATCCCATCTATTTGTTTAAGAGTTGTTAGATTAAAATAGGTAAGAAAACAAATAAGTTATAATAATTTTAAATACTTCATTAAAAGAATACTTCATTAAAAAAATACTTCATTTGAAGTGTATTTTTTGGTTTAAAAAATACAAAAAATAGAAGATCTTGTGTTATCCTGTTAAATTATATACATATTTTGAAGCTTTTATATACATATTATGAAAGTATGTTTAATTTAGCTGCTAATATTTGCTAAATTAAATTTTATTTGCAATGATTTGCAAAAATATTGTATATAAAATATAACATCGCGAACAAAATAATACAATATGTTATAATATAATGAATATTTTGATTAAAAAATAAGACTATTTAATTATAGTTAATATTATAAAAATTAAAAGAAAATATTTCTACATAAAATTAATGAAAACCTATTGATAAATTGTTTTATTTTTAACTTTAGACTATTGTTATTATGTCAAGCATTAATAGAAATCAAGTCCATTTATTTATAAGAGAAAATATTATTATTATAATTATTATCAAATGAAAAAGATAAGCTGATAGTTTTAAATTTTATTGGTGAACAACTTGGCATTACTAAATGTAAGGTTCAATTTTCAAAACTTATTTTTGAATACAGAAAGCCATGGGCTGCACGTGGACGTTACAATGATATATTTTTGGATAAAAATTTAGCCAGGCTTTGCAAAGACTTTTTTGTTCCCCAACAAACCTTTTCTTTATGCAATACAGAAACTACACCTAATTATCTCTTGGCAGGCCTTGTAAACCATTTGAAGAATCATCTGATATATCTAAAAGGAGGAAAGTGTCAAAACTTGAATCTTTGGCAAGTTTTTCAAATGAGCAGTTGTTTGGTAGCAGTTGCAAACTTTGGAAACAAGGAAGGAGAAAGCATGCTAAGGTAGTTAGAAATTTATCAAAAACTCAAACTGATGAACATGTTCAAAATACTCACAATAAAGCCTTAGCACTCACCTTAGATTATAATCTGAGCAAGTCTGATTATCAGCGCCTAAGGAACAATGTTGGAAGAAAAGGCTGTAATTTATATCCAGCTTATAATAATGCACTGGAAACAAAAGTACTTTGTCATCCAGAGAATAACTTATGGACTATCACTGACTATTTTGCAGAGGTTAACATGCAAGCATTGGTCAATTATACAGCACTACGTTTAATAGAATGTCAGGCAGAAGTTATTAACTCCTTAAAAGATTTTCAACAAATGACCCTAAGGTCCAAAGTTG